GGGGGCAAAATTCGGACAGTACCCGGTAAGATGCGGTTCAGAATCTGGTGTCTTCCCGGCTGATATCAAAAAACTGAAAGATGAAAGTATTTGCCCGTTCTTTTGTTTAGTTTCAAAACTTGGTCACGTTTAGGGAAGAGCGCTGATTAAGGGTAGTTCGAGAACAAGGTGTTAACGAGAAACATGTGAACCTGAGATGGATGAAGTGACGACAGACTGGCACCGGGGTAGGATCTGTGGACCTTGCAGATAACCCAGACAGTTGTTGACATTAATGCAGGATGTGTCAGTTTGTGTGAAGTCAGACTAATATCGCCAGTGACGTAGCGCGTCTAGTTTTAAATCCGTAACTCGACCACGAGTCAATATGGCAACGCGACGGGCAGAACAGAATTAGAGACGAAGAAAAATTGTCATTAACAAGCATCAGTGACGCCCAGACTCCCGACTCCCTGTGCTTCACGGCTTGGGATCGCACGTCACCACCACTGACAACCTCACACGTCTGCAGCAACTTTCATTACTCGATTAAAGTCTAGCGGTAACCATGTGTACCACCTGCTTTAACACTCATTTACCTCTGCATTTTTTATTTATGTGTTTCGTGTGACCCTCACTGTAAACAGCGGTTACCAGTTGACCTTTGTAACGGTGCAGTGCGGTGTTTTCTTTGAGGTACGGACTGAATAAAAATGTCACCTCCCGAAGTAAATATCGTAATTTAAAATTCCGATCGAATGCAGTAAAACCCAGCTCAATTTCCCTGTTTTTCCCGCTTTCATTTCAATAGATTTTTCTCCCGAACGCCTTATCTTCTCCTCCAACTACCATTACCAGGACGAGCGGGAACTGCCTGGGGACCTTCATAGCCAAAAATGTTTCTGTATTCTCCGCGTTAAATGTAGTGTCTCTCATTACTCCCCATTTCGTAACCCCCCACTGGTCAATACACTAGATATTTTTTATACTCGCCACCAATCTCCATCAACTCGGCCGTGGCAAATCGGCGACCATATTTCTGAAGCTCTGGTCCGGGACACGCAAAGTTATCCTGTCAACTTTCAGTGTCAATTATCAAGTACCAAGTTTAATCGAAATCTGTTGAGGAGTTTCAGAGACGAAACATGCGACTTCTCACTTGTGCAAACAACAATAACAACATCGCCACGTTCCATAAACGGCGGGGTATATTATTTACAAGCTAAGCTTGCTGAAGATTCTCAAGAAGGACCCCCCCACCCCCACCCTACCCCGCCTCCAAGGCGTTTAATTATCCTTTCAATGCAAAAATACAGCCACGCGTCTGCGAAACCCAGAGCAGCTCTGACGTGTAATGCTTCCGACCATCCAAAGGGTCATGTCACCTTGAAAGTATGCAGTCTGCTCGACTGTGGCTTTCGCTAATGAGTTATGTCATGGGCCCAGTGGGTGGGTGTTCGAGCACGGTCAGTTCCTAGAACTGTATGTGACATTAACTGTAGGAACGAGAGGCCACGCCTTTGCTACCAAACAGTTCGCCTGAATGATATTTAAGAATTCCATCCGTACCGCGAAGAAAACATCAGACTTCACCATTACAGACATCAACTGGTTAACCCCTGAAGCCGAAGATCGTCTAAATAATATTTAAGGATACGGCCCGTACCGCGAAGAAAACACCAAACTTCACCATTACAGACATCAACTGGTTATCGCTGTTTATTCTGAGGACCATACAAAGCAAATATTATTACGATGCTCAAATCAAGGAAGATGAGATGGATGAGGCATGTAGCATGCATGGGGAGAGACAAGAAATGCCTGCAAGATTTTGCTTGGGAAACTTGAAGGGTGAAGATCACTCAGAAGACTTAAGTATAGATGTGAAGATAATATTAAAATTGGATCTTAGGGAAATACAGTTGGAGGGTATGGATTGGATTAATGTGGATCAGTACAGGAACCAATGACAGGCTCTTGTGAAGACAGTAATGAAATTTGGGTTCCATGAAAGGCAAGGAATTTCTTAACTGGCTTCTCAAGATGGACTCTGGTCCATGGAGCTGTCTTCCACTGGCACCAGTAATTTAAGATGATGCAAGGAAAAATACGTTCAAAGTCTGTACACTACGACCGTACAGGGTAGAGGAATCAGCTTTTGCAACAAACGTAAATGACGGCCAGTCACTCATGGAAGATCCCAGAGAAGTCCTCGTGTCAGAAACATTGCAGACATAAAAGAAACTGATTTATATCAATTGAGACTAATAGTGCAGTCATCAGACAAGCAGTCACACTATTCTTAGACTCACATCAGGATCAGAAGACACTTACGTAATAATAATATCTATTATTCCATTTAGTGTAATCCTTTGCCTACAGATATCACAATAAGCAGCTGTTTTGTTACAAGGACCACAGAATACGGAATGAGGTTTATAAGAAATGGCAGAGGCCTTCAACGCGTTTCTGTTTCACATGACAACAAACTCAACACCTCACGGCACAGAAACACGCAGGAATTCCAAGAGACGTGATTTTATTCCCATTTTAGACAAATGTCAGTTTAAAACGTGTAATAACTTTCAGATCACGAGTCAGAAATTTCCTGATGATTTCTGGGGCCTAGCAATCCTCCTATTGATCAGGACATGGGGTTCTTTCCCTGGGGGTAAATTATCACTCACGTCTACTGATGCGATTAATGCACTGAGCTATGCTTTCAGAGCGCAGTGCTAAATGAAGCACCTGAGAAAAATCATTTTGCTTTATTTTAAGTATATTCTGGGGACAAGATAATTATATTCTGATGTTTCTAGCCTCACTATATATGAAGGAAAGCTTCCCACACCTTCAAGTTTTACTGTCCGCAAACCGCCTGCTATTAATGCTCGTCTTAGTGAGGGTATCCACTTTATGCAGAATCAAAATAATACCAAAATTAAGTTCTTTAAAGTATTATATACAGTATCTATAGCGGTGCTGTCTGAGTCTTAAGATACCACCAATACCAGTCAGTTTGCAAATCACATATGCGTGTGCGTCCACATCTGTAATATGCGTATTCTACAGTTGCAGATTCAATGAACGAGATGATATACGTACAGTCCACACCGTGTGAAATCAAATCAGGTCAATTGAAAAATAGTTTATAAATTGACCTCTGGTCATCAGAATGGGTCAAATGAAAGGTCACTTATACCAAGGCATACCTCAGACTAGTGTAATATGAATTAGATTTTGTATAGCCCTCATACGTTGCATCAGCAAAATTCCAGCTGAACGATGACCGACACTTTAATATGAATCAAACACATGAGACACTGAGCAGGTTAGCTCAAGAGGTAACATGTTTGCTGTTATCAGGTTTCAAACCCACTGGGGCACCAGATGTATTAACGTGGTTTAACTCAGTTTATAAAAAAAATTAAAAAATTAATTACGAAACAGTTTGGTGACATAACTTTGCTAAAAACTTTAAGCTAATCTTGGCATTTGTTTCACTTTTCTTCTTAAAAATCACATAAATCCAGACCATAAAGTCCAATGCACCTAGAATAATTATAAAATGCACCATACAAGTCAGTATTACCGTCAACATGCGCTGACAGGCCTTTAACATTCTAATTCATCGATCTTACAGAACATAGAGGCGGCAATCCACTGAAGGAAACCAAAGAAAGAAGTTATGGTGACAGCAATGTGGAAGAGAGAGCTTCACCTGAAGTCAATTACATTAGAACACAACAAGCCAGACGAGTTCGTAAGATGTCAGGTGAGTCTGCACTAGTATCAACGCAAATTTGTTGTCAGACATCGTCTGCAAACATGCAATGAATCAATAGGCAGAACTGATACGGAGTTTTGGATTTTTAATCCACATCGACGTTCTGTATCGTCAAAGACGACTCAATCGGATTTAGTCGCGATGAAAAATTTATGACCTGGGCTGTGACACCGCGCAGTCATGCAGATGGTTACCATTGCTTCTCTGAAATGGTGCTAACTACCCAGAAGACCATGAAAGGTAGCTACGAAATAATTAGATTATAATATTCTGTTTTCAGTGGCAATCCAGTGTGAGAGTTCATCTAGTCTACTTAACGTACCGGTGGTTCCTCGCAATTCTGTTTCTGGCAACGATGATCTTCTCCATCTGTGATACAGGCGGCAACACCAAGAATTCTGGACTGCAGTACATCAGCAAGTGGCCAATATATCTCACAAACTGGGGGTATACTGTGTGTACAATGCAGGCCATACTCGGGGCATGGCTCCTCACCCGGAGGCTGATCGCAGAGCGGAAGCCAGGTGAGTGTCACGACAGACCTGAAACAACAGACAACAAATAATTAATTTTAAACATAAACATTTTCCATGATACATATTAATTTTTTTTAAAAAAAAAATGAAAACTGTCCATTCAACCTTAAATCACTATTTTAATTTCATTTCATTAATATTTTTATTTTAAGAACTGTCGATATCACATGAACAGTCATATTGGTTATGTGACAAGAGTTAAAATGTTCTGTCCCTCATTACTACATAATTTTGGCCATAGCATAACTTAAATGCAATTTGTGGTTCAACTGTTGTTCTTTCTTTCAGGTTTCGGAACAAATGACTATGAGATATCCTTCAGTTATAAAGTTTACTGGGCTCTGAACACAACAGGCATTGTCATGGCTTTCGGTATCACGGTTGCATACTGGCTCACAGTATATGATCCAGGTAAGTGTACATACAGAAATAAGTAGTGTTTCTATGAGAATGATCCAGTAAGTTAGCAGTTATCTCCTTATATCTACTTTTGTGCCTACTGAAAAGGACAGCTTTCATCTTTTCAGTCCCACGAGGCATATTTTTACATGTGGCTGTAAATGAAAACATCATGGGTATAAAAGAATTCTTTTTCCAATGTCAAATTAATTCCAATGACAGAAGCATCGAAGTAATCGGATTCTACACGTCATAAACTTTCGTTCTTATTCTCGTATTAATTTTCTTCTGCATATACTGAATAAACTAGTTTTGTACTCATTTCCAAAGGCTGATATCCCTTGCATGCGTGGAACATCCACATCAAAATGTTATATTAATAACTGAATGTAGCCAAAGAACGAACCAATAACAAGCCAATACTATTCAAGACCTGTACATGCATGTGATCTTGTTACAGAAAGAGAAATGGTAATAAACTTAATTCCTCACCCTCCTTCTTCCATTTCTTTCTCTCTTTCATACCTCTATCTCCATCTCCCCTTTCTCCTGTGTTTCTTTCCCATTGCTTTCATAGATCATTTCTGTGGTCCCTCTTACCTATGCTCACCACTCTAAACCTCTGTACAGATACAGAATATCACGCAGTTACAGTGAAAAAAAAACAAAAAAATATCAGCCATGCTACGTCAGTGTTTTCCCTGAGATCTTCAGCCACTTAAACGTCTCCGCTGAATGCAAGCAAGCAAACTGGCAGATTTCAACTGTTTTCACAAAGTTCCATGACAGACAGGAAACCGATATTTTTTTAAATTCATGATTATTCCTTGCTGAAATATTTGAGTGAATAAGTAATATTTTTCTCTGTTTTAACAGCCATTCACAAACTGGATGCCCTGAATCTCATGGTCCATGCATTTAACTCTGTGTTCATGGTAACAGATTTTTTCCTTGTGGCCCATCCATTCAGGCTGTTACACTGTTACTGGCCGTTCCTCATTACAGTGTGTTACGTGGTGTTTAGTTACATTTACTATGAATTAGGAGGATCTGACAGGCACGATCGACCATTCGTCTATCCTCTTTTGGACTGGCGCCTGCCAAAACGAACAGCAGTATCTTCAGTGTTTGGACTAGTGTTTGTTCTCACAGTCCATTGTGCAACATGGTTCCTTTTTCTGATTCGCAAATGGATTGCTCTCTTGATAAGAAAGAGAACTGCTCTCCCCACATATGAAGAAAATAATCACATATCTTCAAAATTGCAGCCACCGCTACAAATGGATGACATCATTTGTTGATTAAATCAGCTTCCTTAGGCATCAAGCAATATTTAATTTGCAGACTCAACACCACTGTATTAAATGTTAAATACACATATGGTCCTATCCTGAAGTTCAGAGTTTGGACCTCAAAGGGCTAATTGTACATTAAAATTACGTCTACAAAGGGCCATATTTTGAACGTGTCGCACACTTAACTCTGCCTGAAAGTATACGATAAAAATTATTCCCTATTCCTGGCAAAACTTTAGTTGGAAAGAAATTCCACAAAGACATTCCACAAATTTTCAATCACAGAAACAAATTAACTTAATTTTTGATTGATTAATGTTATCATTGCTTTCTTTCTTTATTCCAACAAAATAATTTCATATCCATATTAAATGAGCATTTATATTTAAATGATAAAGGAGGTAGTTAAGCCACTCATATCATATGAGTAATAAAAGTATTAAAGACGTCTTTCAACTGAATTTGATGGTTGAAAATGCTAATCATTTTCAGTTATTTAAATAATAAGTTTCTCATTTTGCATAAAATGCTCATATTCTATTTTTATAGTACTTTAATGAGTATACTGTATTATAAATTAAAGTATGATAGTTCCTTGTGTAAACTGCCATGGGGCTTTGGAATGTTCCCTGGCAAGAAGTATAAACTTAAATATTTGTTGAAACTTGTGTTCATCAAGACTTAAAATTTAGAAGTAGCTCCCAAGTATGAATCACATTTGTCAAAGCCTGGAATAAATTATGAATCAGAATGTACCACATAAACTGCAGCAGTTAAAAGAAGTGGTTTTTTTAAGTTCCCTAAACACATCATATCACTTTACTAAGTTAAATGCATCTGTAAGCCATAAATTTAATGTATCTTGCTACGTTTAACACAGCAAAGCGTTAAACCAATCTTCTTCTAGATTCCAAATATACAGCGACTACAGGGTTGCCTGTACTGGCCGTCACTGTAAATTATCTTGGTGTTTATTCTAGTTTACAATATTTAATTTGTCATGTTTAAGTTAAGAATTTTTTTTAAAAGTTTCAAATTATACCAGGGCATTATCTTTCAGATTATCGGAACCAAAGAATCATCACATGTATTTCAGTTTCATAATGAAGCATTCCAGTTTTTGTCTTTTAGTGTTGTATTTTTTCTATTATAGAACATCAACATAAGAAAGTTCTAAAAGCTCAAAATGTTTGAACTCGCTGTCCACGTGTTTCAACGCAAGTATCATGTTCAGGCCGATCTCTGTCTTAACTAGTACATCAAACGTGCCAACACTTACATCTTAAAACTTAAGTCAGATGGACCTATTTATATTAATTTAAATGCCACATAATCCAGGATCTATAGAATCTGTGCATGCTGTGCCATCATAGCTTTATTCATCTGTTCTACAGACAGTCTGCGTGTACGACTTTAATTTTACTGTAACAATTGTCAGCTAGACAATAACACCATTTTGCCATTCCACTGCTACTTTTGTGATCCATTTTCAAACTTTTCTATTATTATTATTATCATCAGCACCACCGCAATCATCATCATTGTTGCTGTCACAATCACCATTAATATCCTTATATTGCAACAGCGTAAAATCTCGTCAAACTTATAACTTATAGAAGACAAATTACAACTGGTAATTTGATATAATTTTAGTTAAATTCTACCACTGATTTAAATTTATATTAAATATAATACTTTGTTACTTTAAATAATACAGTTTTTAGGTTATTCTGTTATATATATATATTTATCTTACAAAAATGTCAACATTTATGGATTTTTGTATGAAAGATGCTACTGGCTTTCATAATATACTGCTGGATTAGAAGTAAAAGAAATTTGGAATAAAGATCATGCCCGGGTTACTGATTTTTCCCGTACTATTTTTATTACAAGGCAAATGCAAATGCTCAAATGTTTCTGTAATCAACTTGTGAACATAATAAAACTAGTTCAACATAAGTGCCATAGTCCCATTACATTAAAGTAATATTTTTATATCTTCTAGTGTACCTGCTTTAGCCTTGATCACAGTTCAACTTTCTTTTCAATTTAGCCACATATTTTGTTTCTTCAAGGATGTTGTAAGCGTAGGAGCAGTATCCTACATACTTTTTTCCCTTAAATGTAAAACATTTCCCCACATACTTGTATTTCTTTGTACCAAAGCTGAAAAACCAAAAATTGTATGTAAGGTACTACGAAGGTAATTTTATGTTTTTAAGGTTAATGTTAAAACCATGGCATGAATGTATGTGACATGTGAACTGTATGTATTTCCTGAATGTAGGATGTGTTGTAATAGAACAATAAAGTTGTGTGTTCTTTTTTGTGTCACGTTTTGAGTACGCCTAAAGCAACAGTTTTCAGCTGGTCGGCAGACCACCAGTGGTCCACAAATTACAGTTATATATACAACAAAAATCATTTTCCTTAATCGCATTCTGCGATAATTATGCTGTTGTCCTTAGATATTAATTACATTTAATATAAATGTGTTTTTTTACCCTTTCTCTAATCCACTGACCAACTAATTATATAAATTCTCTGATTTAGTACCATGTGTGTTTTACATATTATCTTCTCATTTCAATATTCATGACTTAATTTATTTGAACTATATATTATAAAGAAATTGATGTACCAACGTGCCATTACGTATAAACGTCATCTAGATTCGTGTTAATTTTCACATTTTCTTTGTTGCTACCTTTCTGTATTTGTTACCATGTTCTTACGTTCTTCTCATGTTCTGTATCTGTGATTGGCCTTCTGGCTGTTGATGCAGCGTGCCAATAACAAATAACTGAGTTGAATTATTATTTATAAAATCTCGAGCAAGAAGTAGTGTCCATCTTCGCCAGCAGCCCTGATGATGGAGGCGGAGATTGTCTCCGAAACATTGGGCTTTTCTACAACTGACACGGATTTTTGCCCAAGATTTTATCGATTCTAGTCGCGGTGAAAGCTTCGTATTATTATCATCATCATCACCATCAAATGTATTGTTGTCGCATTAAATCGCTTGTAGAAACGTTCCCCACAATCCTTAGCGCCAGTATGAAGTTTGGTCTTTAGAACGAAAGTCCCGAACTCCCAGAGTCCAAAAATTTCCCACCCCATATTAAATGTTTAATCTGACCTGTTTCCAAGGTATCACTCAGTTTAACGTCATACACGAATTTATTTGCGGATTTGGCAGCTACACGCTTACAGCACTGTTATCTGCGATATAATGATAAACCCGTTTAGATAAACAAAAGCTCAGAAAGCGATAATTACCAGTTTACCACACGTATGTAAGAAGTATGATTTTAAAAGTGGTTCAATCTCAGTGTAGCGTGAGAAACGGCATTTCAGGTATTTATTTTTTTCCAAAATTGTAGAATCCCACTAAATAAATGCATAAAAGGCCGAAATTTCATTGTAATCACTGGATGTAATCATGTGAATGTGCCAGACTGTACTAAAAACAATCTCGTTTATGATGGAGCATTAAGACAAAATGGCTGATACAAAAATACTCATAGGCCATAGCCTGATAACGTCAAAGGTATCGGGTCTTCAATTTATGCAGTAACGGCCTTGCTTGCATTCCGTGCTCGGCCGAGTGCACTGTTGGAGTGGGATAGAGATATCGCGTTCTTCCCGTGAGTCACAGGCGAATCAGTTTCATTGCGTCTCTCATCGCGGATTGACGTTGATAATATGGTGTATAGTATTAAGCAACGTGTGTTCTTAGTCGAAAAATATGCCAAATATTCATCATACGGAAGATGCCTCCGTAAATTTCGCGGACATTTTCCTGGTGTATTACTTACAGTATTAATCTTAAAAAAACAAACACAAGATTTATGTGAAATTGAGTTAACCTAGTACAGTTACTTTTAAAGTAAAGCTGTCTCACAACATATCTAGAAGGTGCATGGTATCGGCGCATCCTTGCTGTACTTTGCACCTGGGGAAAGGACCCCCGGTATCCATTGGATAAGGCTGGGTGGACACCAGAGCCAGTATAGATGAAGAGATTAAAACAAATTCTTTGTCCTTACTGGGGATCAAACCCTGGTCACCCAGTCCATAGTCACGACACAATACTGATAATAATAATTTCCTAGGGCTGAAGGAAGCTACGAAGCACTCGGTTCAAACCACGGACCTTCCGACTATAAACACTGGCAAGTTAAAAAGTAAAATATGTCTGAGGGCGACAGTTTCTGGATTTGATTCCTACATGCGCCAGCATTCTTTATGTAAACTTCTCTTGAATTCTGGATTAACATTTAATTCAACTGTTTTTACTTCACCAATCTACAACGGCTTTTATTATGATTAATTAATAAGAAAGCTGTCACTGTTTTACAACTGAACCTTAAGCTCAAGTACAAGGGGGGGAGAGAGTGACGAACAATCCTTCTAGAAACGTTTTAAAATAATGAAAACATTCAAGACGAACACGGCGTAACCTGATAAACAAAAAAAACAAAACAAAGACGTTCGAGTTTCTCTACAGTCCCGCAACTTAAGAAATGGCGCTGGACGTTGGTAAGGCCGATGTCCTGCATCAAAGAGATCCATCTCGTGTCTGTATGTTGAACACTGAAGACGAGGAAATTGTATCTCTTTGATGATGGAGACTGCTAGCATCTTTGAAACGCTGGCAAATTTCTACGAGACTACAACCCAGAAGACTGACATCTTCATTCCATATTTTCTTCCCTTCTGAGTGCTCAACTAACCACGATTAAAAAAAAAAGTCCGGCTAGAATTGTGACGCTATGCGTGAGACAGCTGCTTGTACGTGCCATGTTTACACACTTCAATTTAGAAGCGAAAAGACAACTGCTGCCATCTATACAATAAAAAGTTGACAATCATGCCAAAACACACTCTAACACTCCCAGGTTTCAATTATAAATAACTATGCATTTTGTATTATCGTCCGCCGTGAAAACAGCTATGTTTTCTTTGCGGTACAGACCGAATTCTTAAATATTATTTAGACGAGTTTCAGCTTCAAAGGGGAAAAACGTTTGAAGCGTAATTTTATCTGGCACAGAAGCCCCAGCTCTCGTATTTTACTGTGAACGCGGTTGATTGATGGACGCAACTTACCGGTCTATCGGACACTACAGCCAATACATTACACGTGTTAAAACGTTTCAAACAGTTGAACGCAAAACAAGTCGTAACGCCCAAGTGGTGTAACATGGAGAAGGATTGTTTATATTTGTTTGACAGTTTAGCGTTCCAGCACAATTCTGTTTACATGACGTTATCCTAAACAAGAACTTGCGAGAAGAACCTATGACGAATATTTCATTCAAATGCTTCAATATCGCAAAGCTATAAATAAATTGTAAATTAATAACAGTTAGGCAGACGTAATTTATGCTTACATTGCCCATAGCACATATTTCGAATACGTTAAATTTGCCCAATATGACGCCAGTCACTGCTTTACGCATGCGTAGTACTTACTATCCGTCCTCACATTTGGGCGAGGTTTTGTAACGGATAACACGCAAGCTTCCAGGAAAGTGAGTCCAGTTACATTGGCGACGGACTTAATTAAGTTTGAATAAGCACAAGGGAAACAGCCACGGTGGTCTAGCGGTTAGAACGCTGGCCTTGTAATCCTGGGGTCTCGGGTTCGATTCCCGGCGGTGCCCGAATTTATAACTTGTGTTGGGCAAGGCCGTGGTCTAGGCTACACGGAGTTTTCCTCCGGGGGCTTCCCCGGTTTCTCCGTGGCATCCCAACAATTACTCCATTCACACACAGAAGAAGGCAATGGCAACCCACTTCTGGATCATCTGCCAAGAACGTATATGAACAGGTCTCAGTCCGAGAAAAGGATGGAAGGATCCTGGTCATATGGACCTGTCCTCAGACAAAACACTATTTGAAAAAAACAAAAACAAGGGACTCTTCAGGGACATGAACACAAGAGGTCCACCTGTCAGAGTTAGTGTTCTTAGGCAACAGACCGGGGAGGGGAGATCCACGGAAACTGGAGTAAATTGAACATCTTTTTGTGATTTAAGGTAAAAACAACTAATGTAATAACATGTATTAGTGACGACAAATATTCGTAGTTCGCTGTTACTAGCGGCACTGAAACTGATT